ACAGCGCCACACCAGGACGCCATATATATATGTGTTGTTATTAATTGCCATCACGTCGATTCCAATCTGTTTTTGTTAAGTGCCATCAAATCTATTCTGATTCATAGCAACCCTTTATAGGGTTTCTAAGGAGTAGCTGGAAGGTTTGAACTGCCGACCTTGCAGTTCAAGTGAGGTTGAGTGCTTATCCTACAGCACAACACCAGCAATATGACATATACATATATATATATAAACTCATGGAAAAAAATAAAAGATAGCAACCATTTATGACAGGGTAGAAGTGTCTCATAGGGTTTCATAGGCTTTAACCATTAAGATGTCCTGCTGTGGCACTATAGGATAAGCACTCGACCACAAGGACAGTTTCTAACTGCAAGGTCAGTGGTTCAAACTCACTAGCCACTCCTCAGAAACCCTAGACAGGGTTGCTATGGGTTGGAACCAACTTGTCGATACTTAACAACAACAACCACAATCTTTAAGAGAGTAGATCAGGTGTTTTCTCCAACAGAGGAGCTGATAGGTACATACCACCAACCTTTCAGCTTAACCTAATTGGGAGAGCTTCAGAAAGTTCATGAAAACATGGAATTAAAAGTTAATGGATTTTTTTCTATGAACCTCAAGATCAGCAGTCCGAAACTACCTGCTGTTCTGTGGGAGAAAGATTAGGAAATTCTATGCAGGGTTACTATGAGTCAGAATCAACTCCATGGCACACCACCATTGCTACCACCACCACCACCACCATACCTGTTGTGGTTGAGTCCATTCCAACTTTTAGTGAAACTATCTAACAGGATAGAACTACCTCACAAGATTTCTAAGATTGTAATCTTTACAGCACCAAACTGCCACATCTTTTTCTTGGGATGGCTGGTGACTTCGAACTACAACATTTTGGTTAGCAGACAATCACTTAACTACTGTGCCATCAGGTGTTCGCTCTGTATAAATATGAGTATATATAAATATATAAAGCTACTACCACCAAGGAGCTCTGGTATAATAGTGGTTACAAATCAGGCTGCGAACCTCAAGGTCAGCAGTTCAAAACTACCAGCTGTTCTGCAAGAGAAAGTTGAGGCTTTCTGCTTCCGTAAAGATTTACAGCCTCAGAAACCCTGTACAGGGTCGGTACTGAATCCACGGCACATAACAACAACAACGATTACCACCAAGAAAGAAGACCTAGGAGTGGAGTGTGCCCTTTGCACCTGGGGTCCCTGCACTGAGAAGCTCCTAGATCCAGGGTGTCTTAGGCAGGTCTTCTAGAGAGAAAAAAAATCAGTAAAACATATATATATATATATATATATATATATATATATACGCATATATATGCATATATGTATAAACTTAGTAGTAAAAAAGGACCACATAGCAGGGAGTAAAATAGAGTTGCCAGTATTAAAAACAATTTATAAAATTTTATTTTTAAGCATAATATATTCCTATGAAAGCCAAATAAATGAATCCTAAACATTAGAGACTGGTATAGTGCTGTGGATCAGTTGTGAACCACAAGTTCAACAAGTTCAACAGTTCTGCTCCTCAGAAGCCTTGTACAAGATCACTATGAGTCAGAATTGACTCTATGGCACTTAACAACAGCAAACATTAGAGTTGGAGTTCCGGTGTGTCACTGTAGTATAAGCACTGGATTGCTAAACACTAGATCAGCAGCTCAAGCCCACCAGCTGTTTCTTGGAAACCCTGTACAGGGACACTATGAGTTGGAACTGACTCAACTGCATTTAGCAACAATAGTATTTTAACATGGACTACATTTTGAAATAAAACTGAAAGAAGATGCCTTATTGAATTATCTGTCTTTAATACAGGCAATGGAGTTCTGGTGTGGCACCGTAGGATAAGCACTCAGCCTCAAGGTTGGTTTGAACTCCTCGGAAACCCTATACAGGGCCACTATAAGTCGGAACTGACTCCATGGCACTTAACAACAACAGTACAGATAATACAAATTAATTCTCTAAGTCATATTCTCTATATTTTATTTCAGCTTAGTTAAAATACTTGGAATAACAAAACTGATTCCATAAAGGGAAGGAATTGCTGATAGTGATTTTGCCAGTATTTTGTGATACATTAAGAAAGCAAATAAACAAAAGATTGTCTTATTTTTAAAATTATGGTGGCAAAATGTAATAAAACTATTTAAATAATTACACAAGTAAATTCCATTATCTCCACAAATAGGAAGATTAGTATTGAATTTTTGATTGGCAGGCAGTACACACTAACACAAAGTGCTTGTTCATTAGCATTTTTGGTTAAGTTGTGCACAAGAAAGGCAAATTAAGAAGGATGCTAATATATAATGTGGTTAAGTGAGTTTAAAGTGTCAGAAAGCAAAGATGTAAGATTAAGAACTAAAATATACCTGACCCACGTCATGATATTACCAATTGCCTTTGATGCATATTATAGTTGGACAATGAGTAAGAAAGACTGAAGAACTGCTGCATTCAAATTATGGTTTTAGTGAAGAACATGAGTATTGAATACACCAGGACTACCAGAAGAACACATAAATCTGTCCTGGAAGAAGGTCAGCCTGAATGCTCCTTGAAAAGCAAAGATGGCGAGACTTTATCCTTCATACTTAAGACACGCTATCAAAAAGGATTCATCCCTGGAAAAGGACATTATGCTTGGTGTTGCAGAGGATCAGCTAAAAAGAAGCTCCTCAATGAGAAGACACAGGGGGCTCAAACATGGCAATGAATGTGGGGACGATGACTTGTTATAATAGATTGTTGTGAGTCAGAACTGACTTGATGGCACTTAGCATCAACGAAGTGAGTTGAATGAAAGTGGGACAAATAATGCATGACTACTTACAACTATTGTTTCTGACTTAAATGATCAATCCTAGCACTGAAATGGATTTTTATATTACATACTGTGGTTAGAAATTCATAGAGCTGAGTTTCTCTGTGATTACTAAGATGACTCAGTTAAAGGTAGGAAAGGTACTGAATGTGCATCTAATAGGGAGGCAGTGAATATGTGATGTGAATGATAATGACGTGTTAGTACCAAAGTCACAGGGCACACATGTGACCAGCATAAACACTGGTTGGCCAGGAGTCGTAACTATGTACTTAACAGGAAAGTACTGACTGGGTGAGAATTTAGTATCAATGAATCATGAGCCACTAGGTGTGGGGAACATAAAACTAGATAGGGGTTGTAAAGAGAGAGAATAAGAAACAAATATTCACCATTTCATGCCAAGCATTATACTAATTGCTTTGCAAATATTTTCTCATTTAATCCATCTTATGATCCTCCTTTTATAAATGAAATAAACTGAGAAGAAGGAAAATGATATAGGAATCACAGTGGCCTAGTTCCAGTGCTCACTCACTCATCCATTAAAATTTTTTGAGCATTTCATTACTTGTCTGTGAGCTAGTGCTAACAGTTTAAAGGTAAACAAGAGTCTTGACCATGAGGGAGCTTACAGTCAGAGAAGAATGAAAATTCATTGCAATGAGCGTAATGTGAAAAGAGGGTATCCAGTCTAGTAGATTGGGTAAGGCTTTTCAAAAGAAATGTTCACTGATCTGAACTGCAAGGACTCAGAAAATAGTCAAATGAAGAAATGGAAAGGATATTTTAGGCCAATATAAGAGAGAGGGAGAGACAAAGAAAAACAGAGAGAGAAAGAGGTTGGATCCATCTAAAATTTGACAGTTTAGTAAGCTGTAGAATGGAAGAGTTAGATAAAATGACAAAACTCAAAGAGTCAGGAGCCAGGAACCAATGCTAAGGAATTGTTATTTTAATCTGAAAGCTAAAGAGAATCATTGAAGTATTTAAGGGAAAATACTGAATTTCAAGTCATTGAAAAGTTTGCTCTGGCATAGATTAGAGGCCAAGGGTAAGGAGACCAGGAAGTAAGTGTTTACAATGAATCAAGGAAATAAGAAATAAGTAAATAATTTCAGTCTCATCCACATGTCTTAATCCTTGGGATGACAGAATAATTAATTGCCAATTTTACAAAATCATATTATAGTTGTTTATTTCACATCATCAGAAAATGGAGGCAGCCAATTATGCCAGCTACGTCCCAAAGATGGCACTGTAACCTAAAAGCACTAGGATCCAGTACTTTCTAAGTCTTCATCAAAGACTGTCTGCTGAAGGGATTGATAATTATATGCATACTTTCTACATTCATAAGAAATAGAAAAACAAAATTCACCCATTATTAAGATTTCATGCTATTTCCTTTTGCTATTAGTGATGCATTGGTTATTGTAGAAACTATTAAAAATATGTTGTTGTTGTTGTTGTTGTTGTTAAGTGTTGTCAAGTCAGTTCCGACCCATAGCAACCCTGCACAGGGTTTCCAAGGCTGTAAATCTTTACAGGAGCAGAAAGCCTCATCTTTCTCTCGTGGAGTGGCTGGTAGTCTCGAACTGCTGACCTTAAGGTTCGCAGCCCGATTTGTAACCACTACACTACCAATAAATACATAAAAAGTAAAACAATTATACAGAGGCAAATACTGCTAACACTGATATTTTTCTTTTCAATTAACACACATACAACTCTGTTCTTCAGGTGACAGATGATGGCTAAGAAATCAAGATTTGTGATTGCTTTTTGATCTTCCTTACCAATCTTATGGCTTGAATATTTTTTTAAACTTGGCTTATTAGATATGAATGTTTTTTTGTGCTTATGTTTTACATTTTTCTTTGTAAAAGTATTTTAAGGGATAAGCAGAAGACAAACAATAAAGCACAGGCATTATCACTATAGAGACCTTCTACAATAAAGATAACGAAAACCAGCCAACCAGCCAACCAGCCAACCAGCCTCAATGGGGCTATCTTGAACTCTCAGGGGTGACTTTGAAGGCAGAGGGTGGTTGGTGGCACATAGGCATGCTACTTACTGGCAGAAAGAAAGGTGCAAACTTTTTTATTGTACCCCACATTACTCTGGTGACCAGAAGCATGGCCAGTCCCCACCCACGTACACTCCCAGTGAAGCGTCAGCTCTCCAGGCAGTTGGAGCAACTTCAAAGGAAGTTGGGAGCTAGCAACACAAATCCTGACACCTGGAATCAGGTACAACCTGCTGTAGACCAGCAGAGCTGGTTCTGGTAGCACTTGACTAGTGGGACCTCTCACCTTTAGCTGCCCTCTGGGACAGAAAAATCCTAATGTCCCACCTACTTTGGGATCTGCATAAACTACTTCTGGATTGGGTGCTGAGAACCTACAACATGTTGGCCTTCAGTAACTCCACCTAGGGCCAAAAAAGTCACCTTCTCATCCCTTGTCCACCCACCTTGTGAGGTCCTTGACTGGTAGGCGACCCCAGAATTTTCTCCTCTCTGTGTTTGGCACTTGCCCTAGGTTTCCCTTTCATTGTTTATACTTGTTTATTCTTTCTTCCCCTTCTACTTCTCTCTGACACTCTTTGTTTTTATCTTTTGTATCTCTACTTTCGTTTTTCATTATTTTCTACTTCTCTTTCCACACCACTGCTGCTCTTTTTCTTTTGTTGGTTTTTCTCTACTACTCTTTGGTCTCTTTCCCTTTTCCTCATCCCTTTCCCTAACTGGATCTAGTTTCTTTTCTTTCTTTTTATAGTCTATCTTATTTTTCTTTTCCATGTTTATTTTTTTATCTCCCTCCCCTTTTCCTTTTCAGTTTTTTTTTTTCTCCCTATCTTTTATCTGCTTGTTTCCTTTACTATTTTCTTTTTTGCTGCTATATGACTGTTTGTTTGCATTCCTCCCTCTTGTGTGTCTGTTTTCTCTTCTTGTCTCACCTGGCAGGGAACAGCAACCATGCCCATACAGCCCAGCCACAATCGTACAATCTACAACACACAAGGCAAGAGCCAATACCAGCTGCTATACACGTTATCAATTACACCAACCAACATCAGTCAAACCCATGCTAAACTGAGCTACACGAATGGCAAACAAACAATGGTGCCCATACTTCCATCCACAAACTACACCCACCAGGAAGCAGTTGATAAATGCCTAAGAACACATGAACATACAATCATCAATAACCTGAGACTGACATAAATGGTAACACCACCCAGAATTCAATCCAGATATAAAAGTATCCAAACTAAAGCAAACCTACCTAACTGGAAAAAAAAAAAAGGACCCAGAAATATCAATTTATAATGAAGACAATTACAAAACAAAAAGAGGGAAATGTGTAGTTACAGAACTTCCAAATAGTGAGGAACTCAAGGAGATTTCAAGATAAAACAGACTGTTTAAAAATGGGGACGATATTAATGAATTATAAGGTAACCTCAAAGAAAACAAGTTTGCTTTCAATTCAAATCAAGTAAAAAGAAAATCATCAAGATTTAGTAAGCATTAAAACAAGAACAATGAAGGAATTGACAAGAAAAAAAACAAACAAAATGAACTCAGCACAGAAAATTATAAGGAACAAGGAAATAAAACACACCACAAAAATAACACACAGCAAAATGACAATCAACTCATTCCTATGGATAATGACACTGAACATCAATTGGTTAACTGCACCAGTAAAGACACAGAGAGTAGAGAATGGCTAAGACAACAGGACACTATGCTGCATATAAGAGACACATATAGATATACATGCATATACTCATAAAGATAAAAATAGATTAAAACAAAAGGATGGAAAACATATATCAAGCTAATAGCAATAAAAAAAATTAGCAGGAGTGGCAATATTAACTTTTAAAAAAATAGACTTTAAGGACAAAAATGGAGTCATGATGTGGCATTGTAGGAAAAGAACTGGACAGCAAGGTCAGTTTGAACCACAAGATCATTGGTTCAAACTCACTAACTGCTGCTCAGAAACCCTATACAGAGTAGCTATGAGTTGGCACTGACTCAATGACACTTAACAACAACAACAATAATGCAAAAATAGCAAAAGGTACAAAGAAGGACATTATATCATGAGTAAAGGGTGAATTAAACAAGAGGATATAATCAATAAAAAATCCTCAAAATACATAAATCAAACTCTAAAAGAATTGAAGAAATAGATAGATAAATCTACAATACTACTAAGCTATTTTAATACATCACTTTTGATGAAGAATAGAACAACTAGAAAGAAACTCAACAAAGATACAGAAAAACTAAACAACACAGCCAACTAACATGACCTCATAAATTTATACAGAACGTTCAACCCAACAACAGCATAATACACATTCTTTTCCAGTACACATGGAACATTCTCCAGAATAGACCATATGTTAGGACACAAAGCAAGCTTCAATGAATTTAAATACAACTGAAATGCTACAAAGCATCTTTTCAGATCACAACGCTATATAATTAGAAATCTACAATAGAAACATTAAGGAAAAAACTCCTGGGTAATAGAATATATAAAAAAGATATAAAAGATGTGTTGAATCAAATGAGAATAAAAAATGAAATATACCAAAACCTTTGGGTCACAGCAAAAGTAATGTTAGATGACAACTTTTAGCAATATACAAATGCATCCAAAAAGAAGAAAGAATCAACAACACATTGACACATCTTCAACAATTAGAGAAAGAGCAGTTAAGTAAACCTACAACCACCAGAAGAAATAAATAATAAATGTTAGAGCAGAACTCAATGAATCAGAAATAAAATGGTAAGAATCAACAAGACAAGAAGTTGATTATTTGAAAAGTTGATTCTTTGACAAGCCAAAGGCAAATATAACAAAAGAAAAGAAAGCGAAGATGCAAATAACATGCATAAGAAACATGCAGTATGGGTGATGTCACAAAAAACCCGTGGAAATAAAAAGGATAATAACAGAACACTATGAAGAACTGTAAGGAGCTCTGGTAGTGTAGTGGTTACGAATCGGGCTGCAAGCCGCAAGGTCAGCAGTTCGAAACTACCAGCTGTTCTATGGGAGAAAGATGAGGCTTTCTGCTCCCGTAAAGATTTGCAGCCTCAGAAACCCTGTACACAGTTGCTATGAGTCGGAACCAACTCTACAGCACATAACAACAAAAACGACTGTACTCCAGCAAATTTGGATATCTAGAAGAAATAGATGCATTTTTAGAAAAACACAGCCTATCTAAACTAACTAACAAAGAAGGAAGTAGAAAACATGAACAGGCGTATAACACAAGATGAAATTGATCAAATCATTTTAAGAAGTCCCAAACAAACAAATCCAGGCTCAGATAGGTTTACTGGTAAATTCTACCACACATTCAGAGAAGAACTGAAACCAATACTATTCAAGCTATTCCAGAACATAGGTAAGGATGGAAAACTCCTGAATACAATTTATGAAGCAAGCATAAGCCTCAAACCAAAACCAAGGAAAGGCATCACGAAAAAAGAAAATTACAGACCAATATCTTTCACGATCATAGATGCAAAAACTCTCAACAAAATCCTAGCCAATAGATTTTAACAACTTATCAAAAAAAATTTGATATGTCATGACCAAGTGGGATTCATATCAGATATGCAAGAATGGTTCAATGTTAGAAAAACAATCAACATATTCCATCATGTAAATAAAACAAAGGAAAAGAATCATATGATCATATGAGTTGATGCAAAAAAGGCATTTGACAAAATTCAACATCCATTCCTGATAAAAAAACACTCAACAAAATAGGAATTGAATATCATTAAGAGCATATATACAAATTCAACAGCCAACATTACTTTCAATGGAGTGAAACTGAAAGCATTCTCTTTGTGAATTGGAACCCGACAAGGGTGCCCTTTATCACTACAACTATTTAATACTGTGTTGGAAGTCTTAGCCAGAGGTATAACACAAGAAAGATAAATCAAAGGCCTTCAAATTAACAAAGAAGAAGTACAAACTCTTACTATTTGTAGATGATATGGTCCTATATATATAAAAATCCCAAAGATGCAGAAAGGAAACTATTGCAACTCATTGAGAGATTTGGTAAAGTGACAGACTACAATAATAACATTAAAAAATCAGTTGGATTTCTTCATACTGATACAAATGAGCTTGAAAAGGAAATCAGGAAAACAAAACCATTACAATAGCCACCAAAAAGATGAAATACTTAGGATTAAATCTAACCAGAGAAACAAAAGATCTATACAAAGAAGACTAGAAAATACTACTACAAGAAACCAAGAGACTTCACCAAGAAAACAGACTAGGCGGACACACTACATTGACCCTCTACAACAAAGATACACGAGACAAAATAAAACAGACGCAGATGAAAATTCTAGATCCCTAAACATCAGAAGAAAGAGTAGAGATGTGAAGTGCTTTCTGGCAGTAGAGACCGAGCAGGGCTGGTGAGAGAGGAAGAGTGACTAGTAAATGGTTGGCCGTATGCACCTACACCACCTGTGAGCAAATTTGTACTGGAGGGAGGCCTGGAAGAGCAGATTCGAGTGAGTGACAGAAAGATGTGATTCCTTCTTTCTCCTCATGCTCCCCTGATGACCACAGGTGTGGCAAACTCTCACCCTCATCCATCCTCAGCACAGACCTTGCGATCCAGGAAAATTGGAGCTACGTGGTTGGGAGTCACACCAGTGTGAGTTGGGAACAGGCTGTGCTGCTCTGGTGTGCTGCACTGGTGCCTGAAGGCAGATGGGCTTAACTCCAAACTTCCAGAGTCTGAAGAGCCACCAGCCCAGCATTTAACCATTCACCCTGCCTCCAGCTCTCCTGTGATCCTGACAGACACTAAAATCAGTTCCATCAAGGACCCTAATGAACTATTTTTGGATTCCATGACCATCTTGTGAGCTTCTTGAATTACAGGAGCCTGTAAAAGATTTCTCCCTGGTGTGTCCAAAAACAGCACTGTTTGTTTTTACAAATACAACAACCCCACAACCCCCTACAGACAACATACAGTTTCAGCACACACAAAGAAGAAAGACATAATGCTTCAAAAAAAGGGACCAGGATGCAAAAACAGAAATGAAGCAGTGAGCTAAGCCCTACAA